GTGTGTGTGTGTGTGTGTGTGTGTGTGTGTGTGTGTGTGTGTGTGTGTGTGTGTGTGTGTGTGTGTGTATGATTGTGCATGTATATATATGTGCGTGCGTGCATACGTGCATACGGGCGTATGATCGTGCGTGTTTTTTACGTGTTTCTTCCCCCTCGTGTGACGTACATGTTTATTCGCCGAAAATCATGTATACAATAATAGAACATGAACAAGTAAACACTGGCGTAGTTATAGCGACAGTTGTTATGCAGCTTTTTGCCACTGCCCACACATTACGATCGAGTGTTTGCATTTAAAGAGCTATATTCCTCGTAAAAACGCGATAAACGGTTGTTTTAAACCGTAAGAAGCGAGAGCTCTCCATACATACATCGCAATGCACATATTCCATCGCCGTCAATCCTGCCCGGAAAGACCCTGAGGAATTTTAATCTCATAACTTCAAAAACAAGCTAAAGGAATTCGATATTTCTGGTACTAATATGTTATATTTTTAGTAGACACACTGGATCGTTACACCATGCACACCACATAGCATAAAAGTCTTAACGATTCCCTCAGAAGAATATTTTTCTGTATACATATGTACGCTCGCTTCGCCAATCGTAAGGGAACGCGACAAAATCATTTATTCTTGGAAAAACTTCGGAGTTTGGTCCAATAATTCATATTAAAACAATATTATTTTTAATTATTTTAACAAATTTATATAAATGTAATCATTTATATTAAGACACGTTTATGTATATGTGCGTTCCTACTATCGAACCCCTTCTACAGTACTCTCCTCCCAACCTGCCTTTCTATCTCTGCCTGCCTGCTTGCCTGCCTGCCTGCCTGCCTGCTTGCCTGCCTGCCTGCTTGCTTGCCTGCCTGCCTGCTTGCCTGTCTGCTTGCCTGCCTGCCTTCCTGCCTGCCTGCCTGCCTGCTTGCCTGCCTGCCTGCCTGCTTGCCTGTCTGCTTGCCTGCCTGCCTTCCTGCCTGCCTGCCTGCCTGCTTGCCTGCCTGCCTGCCTGCTTGCCTGTCTGCTTGCCTG